TTACCCCACACATCCATCTTAACATACGCATTTCCGCTACATGTATTCTCCTTTCATCCGTCCCTTTCACTGCCCAACATTCAGATCCATATACCCCACCTTATAATACAAAAAGATGTCTGTCTCTATGTCTGTCTGTATGTGTGTCTGTGTGCGCAGGGCAGCGGCTGATCCGCAAGGGCGACTACCACGTGGGGCAGCAGGTGCACGCCATGTTCCGTATCGCGGCGCGCGCGCTGCCAGAGACCACGCACCGCCGACACGTCACCATGTTCAGTACGACACTATATATATACAGTGGAACCTCGATAAGTTAAAATCGAAGGAAAAAACACAATATTTTAAGTTATAGAGGTTGTAAGTTATCAAGGATCTATGTTGTAGATGTTTTGGGCTCTGCTCTGCACTTACGGCAGCTCCTTTATACTAATATTATAAAGAAAAAAATTTTGTATTTTTTTAACATCTGTATGTATTCGATTCACGTAAATACAGATTAAAAAATTCTTTCACTAAGTAGCAAGGGCTGTATTTTGTATTATTTTTTTTAATTTCACGCGGGCGAAGTCGCGAGCAATAGCTAGTATGTACAACGCGATAGACATAGATATAAAGTTGAGTTTTGTGAACTGGAGTAATTAATTTTATGGATGGATGGATAGATGGATGGATGGATGGATGTTTGTTAGCGTTTGTAGCCTAAATGGCTGAACGGATCTTCATGAAATATGGCACAGGTTTAGAACATAGTCTGGAAGAACACATAGGCTACTTTTTATCCCTGGAATAGTTACGGTTCCTGTGGGATTCATTAATTTAGCTTTTTAATGTTTATTCGATAATTCTGCAACGGTTCAACACATCTTATTGAAATTTGGCACAGATATAAAACAAAGTCTGGAGTACATATAGGATAAGCCCCATCCCCGAGAAATGTCCGGTTCCCGAGGGATACGTAGCTTTTTGTAATTTTTATAGTTTGTATGTTTTCTAATACCACGCGTACGAAGTCGCGGGCAACAGCTCGTTTTATATAACGTAATCTGAGATAATCGTTTCGCAGTAGCGAGAGGGACCGACTTAAATGGATGATTTTTTTTAAACACCCTAAATTGAAACGGATAGTAAATTGAAAATAGATCTATAAAAAAATAAATAAAAAAATCTTTTTATGGTAAAATAATATATTGGGTGTGGAAGAGAAGACTGATATAAATGCATCATGAATTTAAGGGTTAAGGGTTATCAGGTCGATATCGGCCTGTTACTGTTATACTAACTGTACGCTACGCTGCAGCGACGCTGGACGGCGGGCTGGGCTACGTGCTGCCGGTATCGGAGAAGGCGTACCGGCGGCTGCTGATGCTGCAGAACGTCATGAACAACTACTGCTGCCACATCGCCGGACTCAACCCCAGAGCTTTCAGGTATGCTGGAAAACATCATAAACATAACCCTAATATATCCTAAAATATATACCCGTTAGGTTGTTGTTATTGTATTGAGCATAATTTAAAATATTAATAAAACAATGGAAAAAAAGAAAAAATGTGTATATAAAAAAAGAAAGTCAATAATGTAATAAGGAATACGCAACCAAAAAAAAGAAAAAGAAAAAATATATAAACTGTGCAAAAAAGACTACCGACCAAGAGTCTGTAGATGTTGATAATAAAAAAAAAATAAGAAAATATATAAAGCGTGTTCTAAGAGTAAAGGTTTTTAACAATTCCGGTGATACCCCATAACCATGTCTTCCCCCCGGAAGGTATCTTTTGAAGATTTCCCCCCAGCACCAAAAAAATGGGTTTTTATTGAAAAATAATTATTTAAAAATATACTGCGATAGCTGACATCCTACGTAATTTTTGTATTAGTATAAATTTTAATATATTTATTTCAATACGAGCTGTTGCCCGCGACTTCGTCCGCGTGGTATTAGAAAACATACGAACTATATAAATTACAAAAAACTACGTGTTCCTCGGGAACCGGACATTTCTCGGGGATGAACCTTATCCCATGTGTACTCCAGACTTTGTTTTATATCTGTGCCAAATTTCAATAAGATAT